AACATCATTTTTCTGTGCAGCCTGAACACCTGTGATAGTTGTGAGTATTTTTGAAATATTTGTGAAGTGTGGGGATTTATCACTGCTGTCTATGGGAATTTACTTGTAGTGGTGCACCCTGAAATACGCGTGCGCGGGACGCGTTTTGGACGCGATGTCCATCCAGTCTATGGAGATAAATGGAAATTACACTCTGGCGCCCGCTGTTGTCGGTCTATAGGTTATTTATGTCAGCTAAATGGCGCCCTCATATAATGGGCGCATTATATGCGCTATGCTCAGCCTCTCTAGCCCATCATCGTCGCGCGCGTGCGAGTGCAGTTGCAGGACTGAAAAAGCAGACAATATGAAATTTTCGTCGCTTTCTTAGTTAAGCCTACTTGCTTTAGAATGAGTGCAACTTATATCCTCGAACCACCGACTAATGGAAAGGTATTTGATGCAAAGGGTGATGTTGTGGTTTAACTGTTGTGTTATGCTTAATAATGAGTTGGTGCATGGTTGGTGTGATCGTGGACCGTAAACACGTGATGCACACTATTATCGGCCTAACCATCGGACCATAGGCCTAGACCTGACATGCCTCCACCAGGATGCAATGATGATGTTTACGTTATTCATGCGAGGCCTGCTCTATTTATCAAACATATCGCATGGCATTGCTATTTACATTCGCTTACTACAACTGGTTATATTGGCCCAGGCCGACCCTGCCGGCCATATGAGAAGACGAAACTCTCTCTCACATCCAGGAGCTGGAATACGAGTGCTGCTTGACACCCTGTGCACAAACCTGCAAACCCAGTGACATCTTGTCATGTATGAGACTGGTCTGAAAACTCTTTAAGTGTTTTCCAAATAAACGACTTGTTTTTTTTACTCCTAAATTGAACTTTTTTGGACATTAATTGTTTTGCATTCTGACAACAAATAGGTCGCTTCAGGGAATAATTACTAGCGTCTGTATATATGGAACTCTTCCTTGGGAGCTTTGTGACCTTTTGCAGTGAAAACAAACTGCTAGTAAAGTACTAGTGCTACATTACAAGAAGTCAATAGTGTTTCCATCTCGCTGTTACTAGCTTGGGTTGCGAAAGCTCGTGGATGAACAGCTGTGACTATGAAGGCCTATGTTAGTGGACAAAGGCATGTAATGATGTTCATGTACATAGGCCTATGTCAGGGACATGATGGAGGGGATAACATGGTTTAGCCTAGGCTAGTTCAAGTAAGGACTCTACAAATTGCCTTTTCCAATATTTGCACATGGTCGGGCAATAGAACAAGGTTAGTTCTTGTTACTTTGACCAGGCCCAGTGGCAGGCATTCATGCATTATATTATAACTTGATCTAAAGCCCAGGTCATACTTTCACAATTTTAGCTCTAGTAGCCCTGACTCATGAAGTCTTTGTGAAACTGAAGCGTGCCATGGACACGTGTGCGTGATGGCATCTGATGATATATGTCTCTCCACGTACATGGTCTGCATGAATCTGGAAGAACCTTGGGTGGTTCTCTTTGTTTGGGAAGAGCCATGAACGTTTTGATCATGTTCAAAGCTAGGCCATAGGCACAGCCACCATTTTTTCAAGATGTCAAGCAATCCAAGTGCAGTTTGTTATGCAATCTTGGGTGCTCACATACCCCACCTCTTAGCCAGCCATGGAGTCATGGTTGACTGCCTACCCATTTGCCTACTAGCTGACAATATTGCCCATTACAACCCAACTAAAATGCCTGTCCCACTTTGTCGGGACTGGCCCCACTACCGGTACAGAAGCACTCCCTCATAAAAGAGCCATGCTGGTGGGGAGTGTTCATTTTGTTTGTACATGTACATCGTAGCAATGCGACTCTAACATACGGTAGGCCAATGCATTTCATAGTCGTTTGTAAACCGGTTGTTTGTGAACCCACAATAAACCCACGTAAGAGGTAAGAGGACATTGCTGTCTTCAGACTTGTTGGATCAGTTACAAAGTGTGTAGTAATATACGTTATCATATTTTGCACTGTAACTATAAGTGCCATCTGGCAAGGTGTCGACTGTGTCCTACATCTGAACAGCAAATTGGAGGCTTAGGGCCTCCTGAATTGGGAACAACTTGGGTGTAATGATGAGGTTTGACATTGTTTTAAAATATTACTCTTAGTTGTTAAAATTTGACTTTCTTCCACTTCTCAGTGTTGTTGAGACCAGATGGTCCGAGACCAAGGCCTGGAGTGCATACATACCATAGACTGAGACAAGGCAAAAACCACAAAATCAAGGTTGTGAACAAGACAACCTCAAACTGAGACCAAGACCAGAAAAACAATGCTGAGACCAAGACAACCTGAGCCTGAGACTAAGGGCCTGTTTGTTTCACATGGATCTGGATCACGATCAGCAATCTGAAGATTGTTCACTGACACTAGAACCTGTCTGGTGGATAGTGAAAACCAGCTTAAGGATTGCTGATCGTGATTGAGATCCGTGTGAAACAGGCCCTTAGTTTCAGTCTTGGATTGTCTTGGTCACAGCCTTGATTTTGTGGTATAGGTCTTGGTCTCAGTCTTAGGTTTTCTTGGTGTAGGCTTGATTTTGTGGTCAAATTACAAAATGTAGCATACAAAATAGACACCAAATATTGCAAGTAAATATTTTTATAGTCCCATTTAGATTAGCTCTTACCATACCCTACCTTTACAATGCAGGAAATGATTGTTTTCAGACCACTGCTTACAAGTTTTCACAGTTGTTTAGCTGCTGTGACAAAGGAATTGCACGGCAATTTGTAAAAAAATGTGTGATTGAACAAACTTGACAAAAATATGGCCACAACATGACTGAAATTTCTACAGTTTGTCATAAAACTTGGTGTATAACCAGAAGATTTTGTCTTATAGTGTAGTTGGAACACTGATCTGTCACTTTTATTAAATGTTACAGTTGTATCTGATGTTGGCAGGTTTAAGAAAACATGTTTATTTTTATATTTTAATTTAATGTTAGAGAGATCTATTGGTTAAATCTTGCTACTGTTCATTTTCACATACAGGTACTACTGAGAACAACATGCGGAGATATTGATGTTGAATTATGGTCAAAAGAGACCCCCAAGGCCTGCCGTAATTTCATCCAGTTGTGTCGGGAGGGGTACTATGATGGCACTATCTTCCATAGAATTATTAAGGGTTTCATGGCTCAGGGTGGTGATCCCACAGGCACAGGAGAAGGTGGGGAGTCAGTGTATGGCCACCCATTTAAGGTATTTCTATTTCATGTACATGTAGTCCTTGTATTTGTACGGTATCATTCACCTAGACTGTGATGTGCTCCACCTTCAGTCTCGCATTGCTTGGATTAAGGTTCTTTTAAAAGCGCTATGTCATTACGATTCAGTCAGTTTGCATTAATGAGCAAAAGCTCATGTACAGTGTACACTTCTTGCTGTTGCTCTTCTAAAGACTTAAATGTTGCATTCAGCATAATTCAGCTTGATTACTGTTAAGTTAATTTGAGCCATGAGCTTGCGTTTGGTTAAGCTATTGCTGTAACCATTTTCCTTTTTGTGTACATGTAATTTCTTGATTACTTTTTCCACATTTCTACTTTTATGTATCTGCCTAGCCATCACATCTTTTTTGATAGTTACTTACGTTTGCTGTTGTGATTATGATTTTTTTCATGGGTACTGTGTACAAATTGGTAATGAGTACAAATATTGTCATAAATCTGAATTTGCTATTTAAATTTACACTCTGTAGACATTTGGAAATAAATGTCAAAATAATATTGCATTCCTATTGGTTAAATCTCTGATTTTAAATTAAATCTACAGGATGAGTTTCATTCTCGGCTTAAGTTTGCACGACGTGGATTGCTTGCCATGGCTAATGCTGGACCTAATGACAATGGCAGTCAGTTCTTCTTGACCTTTGACCGCTGTGATCATCTTAATAACAAACACACCATATTTGGCAAGGTAATCAATTTGGTTTTCTTATTATATGTATTTTACTTACCAAAAGGTCGGGGAAAATGGTGGGTAGAAAGCACAGCTTTCTGTAAAGCTGGCGGTTTTTAATAGCACTTTGTGTAGAAAATTTGTAAAACGAAAATAACAATACGGGTGATTTACAATAGCGCGCCTTCAAGAGTTTGCGATGCGTTGGCCTATCACGAAGCACGAAATCTTTGGACCCTTTCCAAACACACATTGTGTTGACAGATTTCGTGCATTGTGATTGGCCAATGCATTGCAGACCTCTTGGTGGTGCGCTACTGATACAGTGATTTATTGAAATTTTTAGGTGGTTGGCAACACAATCTACAACATGATCAAGTTGGCTGAGGTAGAAGTAGATTGCGAAGACAGACCTATTTATCCACCAAAAATCAAGTCAACCGAGGTAATCAGTATCCATCATTCGCTCTTGTCTTTATGGTTAGGAAATGTTACCATCCTGAATTTATTCATCTTACTGTATTGGCTCATTAGTGTGTGACAATTCTTTATGTTTCACTGCATTTACATTGGATCCCATAGAGAATTAAAGAGAGATGTGATCCCACAAGGAGGATCCTGGGAGAGGATCAAGTGTCAAGAGAGACAAGTGTAATGGCAAAGTGGATTGGGGTCTGAGCTAGATAGAGATAGATCTGATCCCCCTTTTACGGTACCCCTTTCAGGAAGGGTCAGTTCCAGGTCTTGTCCTTCATTGTCCTGAGTTTAAACGCTGGTTGGATTTGGGTCTGATTCATATAGATCTGATCTCCCTTTCTCAATCCCAATTTCAGGAAGGATCAGATCTTATCTGAAGGTCTGATCTTCCATTGTCCAAATATCAACACAAGGTGGATTGGGCTCAGATTCAGATAAGCCTGATCCCCTTTCAGGAAAGATTTGATCCAAGTCTGATCTGAAAGTGAAAACAAAAGCTGGATTGAAGCCTGATTCATACAGATCTGATCCCCTTTTCTTAATCCGCCTTTCAGGAAGGATCAGATCCAGGTCTGATCTCTCATCCAAATGTAAGTGCAAGGCAGATTGGGGTCTGATTGAGATCGTTGTGATCCCCTTTTCTCGATCCCCTTTCATGAAGGATTTGATCTGTGTCTGATCCCTCACTGTCCAAGTGTAAATGCAAGTGGATTGAGGTCTGATTCAAAAAGATCAGATCCTCCTTTCTCAATCTTCTTTTAGGTGGGATCAGTTCCAGGTCTGATCTCTTATTGTCTTTCATTTTTCTAATTATTTCTCGCATACTACAATAAACAACAGTAAAAAGAGACACAAATTAAAAGCAAAAATGTGGGCATACATATACATTGTGTAATACTTTGATAACACCCCTAAGGAATTGCCAAAACACAAACTAAATCACTGTCCTGGTGTAAATGTAATCAATCCCCACAAAATACAACCATATCCAGTACATATGCATGGTATAAAGGAGTTAAGAAGTCTTAAAGTCCACCAAAACTGTTCATTTGAGGGACACATGCTATCCCACGCAGTCCAGTGTAGAGTACATGTATAAATGACTGGCTGGTACTTCGTCTGCAACCAAACAGCACCATGATATTCTTTCTCATTCTGCTTTGTGCATCGCAACATCACCTTGAAAATTCAACTCCCCCCCAAATGAAATTATCTCTAACTTTTTGGTTGCTTTATATTCACACTTGTTTCGTGTAAAATGTGGGGTTTTGTTCAAAGTTTGCATAATGCAAACTATACTCCCAAAGAGTTCATCTTTGTCTCTGTTTGAGGTAATAGCAGTTTGAGGCAGTAACAGCAAAGAATTTCACAGATTGAGTGAGGGGCGATGGTGAATAATAATAATAACAACAGTGTTTATATAGCGTCTTTAACTAACTTAGATCAAAGTACTTTCCATTATTATCACCCCTGCTCACTGTACCCAGGAAACATTCCAAATACCATCTCAGCTTCCTAGGGAGTATACAGCTCGATGCTGCCATTTTGGCACAAATCAGCTGTGGATGCAGATGGATGCGACATGGACAAGAAATTAAAGAAAAAGTGGATGACAATCATATTGTGCCACAATAAGGGTTTCAGAGTTGCAATGGAAAATCCTGAACAAAGCAAGCTAAAAGTGGAATATTTTGCACGGATTGTGAAGCCAGTTAACAATAACCTCAAGTATGACAGTAGCACATTATCAGTGACCTTAAAAGGTGGATTGAAGAAGGTTCAGTATTGGGGCACTGTTAATTCGGTGTCAGCTTCCCCATGTTTGTATTACTTGTGTAAATGGGAACCCCTGTTTTCAGTGGAAATGGTTTGTCCATCCTCAAACTATTTTGCATTTTTATAATGTATCACTTGTGTATATGCAACATGTTCATGACTTCAAGTTTGTTATTTTTATTCCTAAAAATATACTGGAACAGATTAATTGATCATTGTACTTGTTACCACTGTATGTTGTCATTCTGTTTACATCATTCATTTTAAAGGTCTTATCTAATCCATTTGATGATATTGTACCCCGTCAGCTGAAGAAGGAAACGGAGAAGGAAGTAAGGAAGAAAAGTAAATCTAAGGCTACAAAGTAAGTTAATAAGGGTAAATCCATGGCCGCAATAATTACAATTCTTAAACATTTGTGCATTAATTCAGCGAAAAATAGTTTTACTTCCTATTGCATGGCATCTGAAAACAGGATTGGTAGGTAAGATTTTATTTGGGCTCTTTTATTTTAAACTGATTCATTGTTGAGCTAAGTGTTAACTGGTGTTTTAAATAACAGCAAAAGATGTTGGTTGGCATTTGTTTCAAATGAAATGAACAACCACAGAATGTCAAGCTACTTTAAATGTCTTTTTTTAATCTTTGTTTACTTGTGCACTGCAGTCTTAATTCTGAAAGTGTCCACTGAAAAACATGGTCAGGTCAATTTGGAAAACTTCAACTGTTAAATAAATTTTGTGATATATTACATACTGTTAATGATGGTAATATGAAGTGCTTCAAGTAGCATTGACTGCAGTTTATTTTCAGCATTTGCTGTTTTTGCTTCTGAACCAGCTGTGCAGAGGTTTTACAGCTTGTTTCAGAAGGAATACACAAAGCAGGTGTTGCACATCTCATCAGGTGGAGTTTCTTGTACAGTGTTTCTTGTATTGAAGAATACAGCTTAAAAAATCAATTTGGGCTAACAAAAGTGTTGAATTGTTCTGTTGAATTGACTGTTACTCTTCAGAAATTTCAGCTTATTATCTTTTGGAGAAGAAGCTGAAGAAGATGAAGAAGAAGTAAATGAAGCAAGCTTGAAAATAAAGCAGAAACATAAAAGCAAGAGTGCTCATGACCTTGGGAATGATCCCAATCTGAGCTCAGTTGCAGCCGTTAATGTAGAGTAAGTACTGTTTTGGACTATCTCTGTCTTCTTACTCTGTTCCATTAAGTTCTCAATTGTTTCAGTTACGCCAAAACTGTATTTAGTCTGCTTGTGAAAACAGATAAAATAAAACAGTGTACATTTCGTGCAAATGGTTTGTGCTTGCATCGCTCAAGCAAATCTTGTTGTTTGCGTATTTGTTGTTAGGAAGCCAAAGCCTACATTGCCATCAGATGATGTTATCGAAGAAATTGAAGAAGAGAAACAAGTATCGCATGAGGATGTGAAGGAATCAATCCGCAAGAAACTCAAGAAGTCATCAGAAAAACCTGTACAAAAACTGCATGAGGAAGCAGATGATGGACAATCAAGGAGGTTGGTATAGAGAACCGAGACGTGATGTCATTTTGAGCCAGGAAGCCACAGAGTACGCTCTCTAGTTAGTTCACACACTGGTTCTCAAGCTAGTACCTTTTAAACATAAAATTTGTGTGCTTGACATATTCGCTTGGGTACTCTTATAAGTAATTTCATTTCCTCAATGTTTTTCTTTTTTAATAAAACATCAAGCCTTTGCATTATCTGCACATCATGTAAACTTGAAGGGTATAGTTTCTAATAAAGTCACACAGGAATTCTTCATCTGATATTAAACTGCAATGTCCACAGGCAGTGAAGGATTAAAACAAAATGTTCTTTCTCAATTTAATCTGTTTGAATACCATGCAGAAGTGAGATGCAGAAGGAATCCGATCAACTTACAAGAGAGTCACATGTAAGGGAAACCAAAAGGAGAGACAGTGACGCGAGGCTTCAAGATAAAGACGAAAGGAAAAAAAGTGATGAGGAAGAGGCCGAAATCCAGCAAAAAGGTAGCAATTTCATCATTTAAAATTCCCCTTTTTGTCAGTATTTTCTTGGAGAAGAATATATGTTCCAGGTTTGTTTCAACAAAATAAACCTAAAAGCCCAGTATCCATCAAACTTGTTGGATTTTGTTGGACTTGATGTCAAAGGCCCAGGGTGATGGTGTTAGATTTTGTGTGAGTTGGGACACACAGGGATCATTGAGTGCAGTGTCTCTCTTGTGTCACCAAGTGTTGAACTATGCATGAGTCTGTCAGGTTTGGTACTGCTGCAGTGCAAATCATCCTATACTGCATAGACCCATCCATACCATATCACTCAAACTCTAGCAGAGTCACTTGGTTGGAATTTATCAGTTTGGGTACAGTGACCTACATGTATCTGTTGAAGTTCGTTGGGGTCAGTACGCTCCTTTTGCAAGAGCCTACCATGTTCTGGAAGTACATGTACAGTTTCTGTAGCATGTCTTTGAATTTCTATCAACATCATTGCCTTACATTTGGCTGCAGAGATCTCTGTTCCTGTCCAAGGTCATTTGGTTCAGTGGGATTAGTTTTCTTGATAATTGTATTTCCAAAGTTCTGAAATATTTATTATTGCTCCTGTAATAACCTCACTCAGCATTCATTAACTAAAAAGAGTTCAGACTTCTCTGCTCTTGAAGGCAACTGACAAATTTCCTATCTGTGAAACCTCTATAGGTTTTTGAGGGGGTGGGGTAAATCAACCACTTTGTAACAGAAGAGTGAATAATCAATAAATGAGGTCAATATGGCAATGATTCCTGTTTTTAATACGAGCGATTCCAAATGTGTGCCGCCAAGAGTTTGCAATGCGGTTGCAACTGCACGTAATGCACATTGGGAAGGATTGAAACGACACATTTCACGTATTGTGATTGGCCAACATGTTGCAAACCCTTGGTGGTGCACTATTTTGAAACTCCTGTATTGCCACAGGAAGTGTCAGTCATCTAACATTCATGTATTGTGGCTGCAGATTGTCTGTAAATTGCCAAGAGGTAATTGACACATTGACCTGGATTTTTGAAATTTTGTTCTGTTTGACATGTTGAAAAGCATTTTAAATACAGTGTGTATGTGTGGTGGTTTTACAAGGAAAAGATCATAAATTATCCCATGGTTTTGATGAGTCATTATTTCATGTACAAAATTCAGCTACACATTCTTGTTTCAAACAACATAAAGTTGAGGTTTCTGTACTTTGATTTTGTAGATGCTAATTCATTGCGGTTTACAGTCAACCAGCCGTACATGTGCATCAGTTGTAAACTTGAATATTGAATTCTTTAGAACTTTGCTCTGAGATTTTGCCAACCTTTCAAAACCTACCACAGTTGCCTTCTTCCTAAAAGTGTCTTGTACAATTCAAGTTTTCACTCCCATAAAAAGATTTGGAAATATGTTTGCTTTCAATAAAGTATCCGTTATACAATTTAAGACAACAGACATTTTCAATCAGGTCACTAGTTACTTTGTTACATTTCTAGAAGCTGTTAGTGCAAGTCCAGTATCCAATGATATGATGTCAGAATTTCGTCAGCAAAAAAAGAAATTCCGACAAATGAAGAAGAACCAAGCAGTGGGAGGCAATAGAGAAGATCAGGTAAGTGTGTAAGTTTGGTATGGTTAAGGCTAAGATTGGACTTGAACCTTGTATTTCAAATAAAAACACATATTATATTAAGGGGGATTATAACCAAGGTTGGACATGACCTTGAACCATTAATTAGGTGTTTATAAACATTCGTACATGTTGGTTGGTTGGCTTTCATCCACTATAACTGTTGTTTAATATGTGTAGTTCATACATGCAGTAGGCATTAACCAAAACAAAATAAGCTTTCATTGTTTGCCAGATTCTCAATTTTTGTTCTATCTGGTGGACCTTCTAAATCATCTTGATATATACTAATTACATGTAGTTCCTCGCATTCATGTACAAGACATACAGGTCTTCCATAGGTTGTTATTACTGTCAATGTGTAGAGAGACAGGTGGGACTGCTGAACTGATCTAGGGTTGTCTCTTGGCTCCAGTAAGTCTGCCCATCAAAATAGGACAAGACCTAGGAATCTTTCAAAGTTCATACCAGAACAGGAAGCATGTAAGAGCAGGTCTTGGAAGCATAACATTATAATTAACAAGATAACAGACTTCATGTCTTTACATAATGTAGTTGCATATGCTGGGAATAAACGAGGCAGTTCCCATGTTTGTGCTTTCTGCTCATGGGCCAGTGGTCTCATAGGAATTGCTGTTGAATGATGGGCAGACGGTTACCAATTGTGTCATCATTGATAAATTCATATCAACTGCTCTGCTTCTTTCCTCTAACATGTAAATTTTGAATTATTAGTAGCCCTCGTGTCTTGCAGGTATGTACTGGTCCTTATCAATGAAATAGCCAAAAAGTGGTGTAAATGAGTAGTTAGTGCTCTAGTTGACTGATAACAGCTAAGATTTGTGCTTGCCCTATGCCCAAACCAAGATCATGTTCCGTACATGTACAAGTGCTTGTACTCTGCAGGTATTGTTATACAGTCACCAGATTGTTACTCAGCATAAATAGAAAGCATGCCTTGGCAACCTGTGCAGTGACTTTGCTGAAAAATTTATGTAAACAACCTCAGTGGATTATTAACCATAATGCATGGATTCAGGATTGCAAACTTGCTGACTTTGCATGCCTGACACTTTCCAAAGATAGACACTTACCTTGACAGCTGGCTAAGCTATCTCAAATCAATCTCACATGAATACATAACAGTGTAATTTCATATAAAATTAATCCCCGGTCAGTAAACTATTTACATTTACATGTAAATGAATTGTTTTCCCTTTTCAACATAAAAGTCCTTTTTTGCTGGCCAGGTAAAATGTGACTGACAGGTAAAATGTGACAGTAAACAAGAGAAGCCTGCTAAATTATGGTGACTGCTAATACCTTACCCAACCCAAATTAACACTGGGTCCATCCGTGTAAAATGCTCTTAACTTCACTTAACCATGGAAAAACTGAATTTAGACATTCAATTTCTTTCTCAACCCTAAACCCTTGAGTGCACTTTCAATACACAGATTCTTGTTGATGAAATTGGTGAGGTAGGGATTAGGGTGGTCAACATGTACAAAATGTAAATGAACAAAGATGCTACTAAAGGATGCAAGTCAATCTTCAACTCTCGGTGAGGAAATTACTTTAGAAACTCCCTGTTCACAGCTCTCCACCCCCTTTATTCACCTAAGGCACGGAAGTCAGATTGAGAGTCAGAGGAAAGATACCTTCGGGGAATTTGCACATATTTTTCATCAGAATTTCTTCTTTCTCTGGACAGCTTTTCCACTGGAGCCACATGTTGCATGACGGCACGGCGCTACCAGGGAAATGAAGCATAATTGAAGCAAATTCACACGTGAAAGCCCATAATTAATGACACTTTCCAAGCAATGACAGATGGAATTACCTGTAGGGCATTGACCATATCCAAACCATAGCACTAGGCGTGATGATTAATTGCTATGATAGGTTAGGGTACATGTACACAAGTCTTATTGTCTCTACAGTATGCACGTGTGTTGCCGTTACTGCTTTCACTGCAAACAGAAAATTGAGTGTGATAACGAGTGTGAAATTTGTCTGTCTGTGAGAGTACATGTAATTTCATGCTATTAATTATGTTTTAAATTCTGTAAACAAATATATCCAAATATCAAACGGTACATGAATTTAAGTTTACTCAAAATTGGATGATTGATGATGGTTGATTGATGTAAAAATGTTCAAATGATTGAGGCACTTTTCACGATTGTCATTTTAGTTCAAAGTTGGAAATATGTTTCAATCTAAAGCCATGTGGGCAGTGGTGTAGTGTGGGCCCCCCCCGACAGATAAGGTGTTTTTTTTACAAAGAATACTTCATAGGTTAATAGGAAAGAAATTAATCGGTACAGCACCAAAACCCTAGGAAAACAACACGGGCGTATAAAAGCAAGGATGACGGGACCATGAGTAAGGCTTTTGATTTTTTTCTCCTGACATCATGCTGAATGAGCCTAAAGCCGCATTCGCTATTTAAACCTCTCCCCCACACCAAAAGCTGGATTCGCCACTAAATGTGTTTTTTTTTTCGGGATTTTTTGAAGTCGTTATCACTATACATGTACAATGTAGGATGTGCATTGCAACACCATGGTCAAAGTGTGAACCACTAAACTTAAAGAGTGCCCTCATGCAATCAATCCAAGCCAATCACAGTTTCATCTCTTCAGTCACGTACTCCTTCTTCCATCACGTCATGCAGCTATGGGCCTACAGTGATAGGCAAATGAATGGCATGAGTGATTGGAACTGATTGGCAACCCATGTGCCAGTCTCAGTGTCTACCCCCAGGCTATGATGGGTACAGCAGGCATATTACAAATCCCAATAGAATAACCTTTAAGCCTTGGCCTGTCAGCCCATTTCAGGCTCTGTTGTGAAGGTTAGATCACTGTAGGCTTAGATCTAGAGTTACTATGAGTGCCAGGGACAGACTTCTGAAATTATGAACTTTTTAATATGTAAATGTATACTGCATTATTGACTGAAGTCCCAGTTGCATTCAAGTTGATTTATTCAGACATGTTCACCAAATGTTCATACTTGAATCCATAGCATGCACCTTCTTCAAAATAATAAGTACAATGTATACTGTTGCTCGTAATTTATTTGCACTCTACAGAGAGAAAACTGGTTTACTAAGTAGAAACATTTGGTGTGCAAATTTGTTTGTGCATGGCTGACACCAAGTATATAGTACATTTACATGAGTTATTTCACATTTGCCTGGGTGCTTGGCACACTGGTCAGGGGCGCTTGTGCATGGAGGGGATACCTTTTCTCCATCGCGCAGGATTTCAAAGAAGAAATGTATATCTCTCTTGTCCTATTATTTCCACTCTGATGTCTTTATTAATTTCAGCAGACTACTTAAAGGCATGACAGTTTTCCCCAGATCAGTCGATTTCCTCTTTTTTTTGTTTATTCAAGTTTACTTTATGCCATTACAAAAAAAATGAGTACCGTACAAGGTTTTGTGTTGTTTTGGATGTCCTTCATTTTTCAAAACTTCTTCACTGTATGCTTGTACTTGTTGCTATGGCTGAATCACCTGGCTTACAGATGTCAATACCAATTATTCCATTCATCTTTAGTTGTTGTAATAAGAGGACATCCAGCGATTAGGGGAAGGCCAAAAAATTCGACTTGGGTACTACTGTAGTGTACACGTATAAGTGTAGAAACCTTGTGTATACCTCCTTGTATAATATTCACCTCCATTTGTCATCATTTCATTTCCGTTCCTGGCTGATAGCCCCAGACGTACTAAATTGATGGATTTCCCCAATTCCGCTTTTGGATAACCTGCTGGGATATACTACAGTAACCAGGAATAACATTCGTCATCATTCCATTTCCATTTGTTTACAAAGTCCCTGGCCAATCGTTGCTCATCGTAGGAAGCAATAGGTGGCTTCAGTGTCTGAATTGGGGAAACCCTTCATTATGCCTCATCATGTCATTTGGGATTTGTACATACACTGACACTTTGGTTTGTCTCTACCTACTTAAAAGAAGTGATAGGAACCATTATGAAAATGGGATATCTTACTAGCGTGTGTGTGTGTGGCCTCTTTACTATAGTTAAAGAAGTACTGCATGTCATTAAAGGGTATCGTAGACATTTGTGCTCCTAGAAGAAATCCAGAGATAGTATTAGAGGTGCCTGTGTCCTTAACTTTGGATGATATCATGGGTGTCTGTGTCCCTGAACAAGCCCCGAAAAGTTCAGATGCTATTTCGCTTAGCAGGCCAGGGATGTACCGAAGGTATAATAGATTTTGTATCCCTGAGCAAGTGAGAAAGGATACAGGTTTCCAATGTCTGAGTTTAGGCCAGAGAGGTATGACTACTCAGAAAGTGTGAATTCTCCTTGTAAAGGGTATCTTTGGTAATGATATCAAACTTGTAGATCAAAATAAGTGGGTTGTACACAAGCTGTAAGGTGAGGGCAGAAAGTGCCCAAACCCCTTTCAAAGAGCTGGCTTTCTTCCAAAAAACCAATTAGGTTTAGGGATTACCCCTCTGTACTCTCATGGGAAAAAATGTTGGCCCCTCACAGACACCCTTGAACAAGGCACACATAAGCTGGAGCTGATAGCAGCAACTTACAGCTGGCTGGTGAATGATAACACCACCCACATGGGAATGCCCTCTCTTAGGCTTCGTCACACTGACTCCAAAATGATGTCATCTTCAACCCATCATCCTTAAATCTTAGCTCTCCTTCCCATTCCTCTAAAATGCCCAGAGACTTTCACACTTGACATTGACTCAGGCTGATTGAGACCAGACTGGGGATTGCAAGTCTTTGCCTAGGTCAAACTACTAAGCTACTTAATGAGTAGTTCCTCCTCAGGGTACCAGTTATTCCCACTTAGTATCAGCTTTTCCCTTAGGCTACTCAATCACTTCAGGGTCAGCTTTTAAACAAGTTGAAGGGTTCCACATTCTAAAAGAATGTACAGAATTTCATTTTTAGCTGATCAACCTTGCCACATCCTGTTTATTTCACTTGCTTGTTTTGTCCAGTTTCATTATTCAGGATTCATTGTCATTGTACCAATATCAGCTGTAGAATACATTTAGAAGGGTTCAGTTCTGATTTCGGATTGATTGCAATCTTAAATTGGGTCCCGTTCATGGTGTACGTGTAAGTGCTAGCTCAGTCACCTGTAAATACTTGGAAATCCTGGATTTGATATTCCCGGATCAGTACTGAACCCCCTCCCCTCCCTTTTTGGAGCAAGCCTCTCCTATAATTTGTTTTTTGTATGTGCAGAATGTTAACTTCATGTAGATGGTCTTTAGGATTTGAGATTTTAATTGCAAAAATGAAAGGTTAGTACTTGGGAACACTTTAGACATGGTTATCTTCCCTTGACTATTTATATACATTTTGTATGTGAATGTCAGACATACTGTTGTTACAAAATGTCAAATTCACACTCTATTCAAATAAGGTGCAATATCGCAGGATATTAACTAACTTTTTCCAATGAGCCTACAGAAACAAATGCTCATGTATAAGCTGAAGCCATTCTTGGACTGTAATGTAAATTGTAAATAACTATAGAGCCCTTTTTTGGTGGGTTTAAACATTTCTCTTTGTGCTAATGCCTTCCTAAACTTGAAAAAAGAAAGCATAATCCCAGCTTTGAGATAGGATAAACACTTTTAATTGTACTTAGCATAACAAATCATGATCAACATAAAATTGTGCTCATGCAGATCTCCTTCCAATTCCAATATAATGTGGCAAACAACATTACTGGTAGATGTTCTTATTAATACTTTTCCAGCCATGCTTAATTTCATAGTTTATTTCAACTTGAAATGTTTTACATGTTGTTCCTCAACAGAAGAAAAGGTTGACCCCCAAGTAAAAAGCAAATGCTGCATGTGTCCCAGGTCCTTCCTTTCATGCCAGAGTGGATTAATTTCAGACTCCCTCCCTGTGGGAGCGTATGAACCCTGTAGGGAGCTTACCCTGATTGTCAGACTTGCAAGGGGGCATGTGGTATTAATCAGGGGAAGAACCAGAAATAGACATCCAGATTTAAGGAATCAGATCAGACCATCATCACAAGAACTGAATGTCAAGGAAAGACAGTGTCTTTGTGATTTATTCTGACACAGACATCACTTAAGATCTGCTTGCTTTTAAGATTCATGAAGTTCATTAAATTTATGCCTCTGTTTCCATGACTCAGGTCATATGAATATAACTGGATGATGAGTAAGTTCCCAAACTACAAAACAAAACAAAAGACGAATACGAATCTTTAATCGGGAAGGCAGAAATATTTTTAGCTTTAATTTCCTCTTTTCTTGTTTCCCTTTTTCAGACACTTGCAATTCTTGCCAAGTTCCAGAATTCTCTTCATCAAGCCAATCAAGAAGAAAAAAATGATGGCAACACAAAAGCTGATGTTAAAAATCAAGATGATGAAGATGAAGAAGAGACTGCCGGGACAAGATGGTTATGCATACATCCTTTTCTTCTCATTCGTGCTTTTCTTTATCTGCCCTTGTTTCCCTGTAGCTGTTCCCGTTGCCTTGTAGTTCTTTAGCCTAAGGTCTGTTTACATTTGGTACTAAGTGATATGTCATCATTTATTACTAATGATGATCTGATCATTTTGAAAATCCACCTTTTTTCCCATGTAAACACCCTTACAATTTTTACATTTTTGCAGGATGGCTCACATTCTCAAATGTGAGATGAGCATGAGTCAAGTGAAAGATGCGAATATCAAAGATGCAGATACATATAGCATCTACGACCCTAGAAATCCCATGAACAAGAGGAGAAGAGAAGAAGGCAAGAAGAAATCTAAGGAAAGGAAATGAACTTTGTAATGGAAGCGTCTTGTAATACTTTATACGTGTATACATTTCCTTGGTGTATTTATCCAACAAACAACCGACCTACTCAAATTCAATTATCCATAGTTATTTTGAAGACTGTGTAAACTGATGCTCTACAATGACAGTTATTTTAATGAAATAAAACAACAGACAGTTTTTAATAAGGCATGTCACCCCTGAAGCTCAAATTATCAATAAAGATCACGCCAATTATTGGAAATTCGTTCGCATGAGGGGATGTAAATTGTACAAAGTATGGTTTGTCCCTCACTGGTATAATTTTATGTTTATAATCCTACTTGGATGGGATTGAATCCCTGTTCCCTTGCTCCTGTCTTCTACTGTGATATGGTATGTTATGTCTCTTGGTAATAGAATGTTGACTGGGGAGCTCAATTTTTTCAAAACTGCACTGAGTACAGATTAAATGTTTTATATTTATATTTTATCACTATTTGTATCATGGGGATATTTTTCTGTTGCTCATAACAATGCTGAACCGACTATGATGAATTTGTTTCAAAAGTTTTTCACTTTCCAGGTTTTCAACATATGATCTATTTTCACTGTCCTGATTTTTCATCTACAATGTATTTGCCGTCCCAATATTGTTTCTACCACAATTCCCCCCTCCCATTTTGCGCTTGAATTCTCCATCCCATTGCATGCTGCATCTCTGCCCCCCCCCGTCACTTTGTGCAACCGTTGGACATCAAGATCAATTGAACATGATTTCAAGAGTGTGGCGGGCATCTCAGAAATTTACATTGACTATGATCAAGTACCCTAATGTTGAACCACCGTTCAACCAGACAAACGACAAAGAGAACTGTCAGAATACCTTACACCAGGAAGTGCATAATTAGAATGAGTAAATTGAGATGTATCCGTCGGTTGCTCGTAGAATTTGGAAGGTCAAAAGGCTGTTTGATTTTGTAAGGTGAAGTGATTGCTTATCATTCCCGTAAACTGGAATGGTTGTAAGCTGACTTGCAGCAGATCCAGCCCCCTTCTGTATTTCAATAGCCGCGACCCAAGGCCCGACCAAAGCAACGCCGTGGCTTTAACTAATGCCCACACAATATTTTGCTGCAATCAGTTGGATTGATAATGCTGCGTATTTAATTTTCACACACGCTGTCAGTGCTGCTCAGAGTGCAAGAACATGTAACGTCGGACGTACTCAAAATGGTTCATCAAATATGCTGGGGGTTTTTTTGCCTGTTAGAATATTGTAAGATTTTTGTATTCGTAATTAAATAAGTGGGGGACTTTTACCCTCTGAAGAAAACTTTCTACCCTTGACCTGCAGCTCTCATTTGAATGTTAGTCCTAAACTTTTTTTCTAATCGATCAAATGGGACACGTGAAGTTTCCCAGCTGAAGATACCTGATGACATTTGAAGAACAGGAAAGTTCTTGGTAGAGGCTATACGAAACCTACGATGTCTGTCATGGGAGCTAATGCATGTCATTCCACATCCGCAATACCGCAGCTATTGTTCCCAAGACAATGAAAAATTTTATTCAATATCATACTTGTACAGTATAATACAGAAGGTCATAGGATGTAGCAAAGATGTTGGGTTGATGCAAGCATATCGAAATGCTGTGACTGATTTAGCTCTAATTTTTCGCCATTAACAACATAACAAGAACGTCATTGGGATGAGTAAATAGTGTTTGCCGAAGGATTTACAGTTCAGCACGGTTACCTCCCACACCTTACACGTACTTCAAATGTTTCGGCTTGACACATCTGTAGGAAAACAAACGGGAATGGTTACACGTATAGCCCATAATGATTGTCGAAATTCTTTCACCCTTTCTTCAAGAAAGTTTCTCAAGTGTTTAGAGAGCAAGATATTCGTGAGGCGAACACCACTTTTCACTTAAAAACCCATGTTGTGGATGCATGCATCTGAGAACGGCACGGTGTTCATGTACTCTATAATCTCATGGCCGTGTGTACGGTGCACATGTATGTGGATACGTGAGGCAGTAATATAGCGCGAGAAAGGGGCCAGTCCCGTCATCAAGGTTTGCATAATCATGATGATAGCGCCATGAAATCCTGCCCCCATTGGCTCTCACCTCCATCAATTCCTCACATTCAGTTGAATTATTCTAATAGGGTGTATTGCTTGGTTCAATGACCCACGGGGATGGTCACCTCCTGTAACTCCCCACGTTCATGTATGGTGCCCCTGTCACCTATACTGGCTACCATCCCTGTCTTCGTCAACTTGTCGAGCCGCGATTTGATTTAGGTTCTGAGCTAACATTTTCTGGTTTAGAATTGAAATCGGTAGAGCTCATAATCCAAGGATTTGTGTATTTTGTGTACCAATTGGACATACTGTTTATTCTATAGGCTCATAAGTTTCTTCTGGCCCTATTTGAGTATTTCCACGTAATATAAAGCCCTTTATCTTCATGCTTCTCATATTTACACGTGCTTTGTTTTTTTTATCCTTCCATGGCAATAAAGAATTGATGGCGGAAACCATTAAGACCCAGTGTACCCCAGCGCTAATACTCTCTGACGCCATGCTCAGTTCCTGGTTCACATCAAGTGGGGTTAATGTAGAACGAACACCAGGAACCCTTGCGGAAGGATGGGGGAGATTTTCCTGCTTTCCTTTGTTGTCACTTCGGAGAAGGAACACAGATCTGGATAGGGAAAGGGTCAAGGAGTTTGATGCTTGGGGTTTTTTTTATCACCTTTCATTCCGAAGTTATTCAGCTGATGCCGCAGCTCTTGTACAAAACAAGGACGTTTTATTTGTATATTAGTAATTTCAAATCAGCAGCGTGTAACGGTGTTCGTGATTTTCCTATATTGGTCACTCATTAATCACATGCACAGGATGTGTCACATGGACAGGGTGGTGTGAGGTCACAGTAGGGTAGATGTTATTAAGTTATGTCCAATATTGTGCTTCCTGCACGTCGAGCAAATTAATCCTTTTCACGAACATTTTCTCCTTAAAGGGCATGTAGACGTGATTTTACAAGGGAGCGTAATTTTGCACAACTTTATATCATACATACATTACTCAAAAAAGGGACCACTTTTTTCCTTGTAATTTTTTTCCAAGCAATGAGTGGGGTCTAGTTCTTTCATGTTTTAATTTTCTATGTGATGTTGACATTGGAATAAAAAGTTTCAAAACATCAAATGCACATTTTTAGCCGTAAAATATCTCATATTAAAAAAGTATACACAAAATAAAAAGTGGTCCTCAACTTTTTTGTGTAGTGTATTTGAAAACTATATGATTTGGTTAATCTTAATGGAAAGTGCGCTTTTGGAACATAATTTCTTCCATACTTTCCTGACAAATAAGGGCATGCAGAGATGTCATTTGAAGCAGTGCTGTTTATGATATCTGGGCTTAACTTTTCGGTTCAAATTTTGAACCACTGACTTTAAGTACTCTCACATACTGGAACGTGTCACCAAAGGAAAGATGTAAAACGACAAAATATCAAGATTTCTATAGCAAAGGTGGGTGTTGAAGTAATTCTTCACGGAACGTCGTACTTTAACTGGGCCCTGTAAAGCATATTCAAACTAACAATTAGAAGGAAAAGTTAATTCATTACGTTGCTATTGCATTTGTTTAACAGAAGTTACCAAAATTCATTTGTTGCTATCTCTTTGTGGGCTTAATTCGCGTGAATTTAAAATGGCCGCCTGGGTGCATTTCTTTTGTGGGCATACACTAACACTTGTCTCACAGTTAACTTCAGCCAACATTTTGTGGTGCAGTTTGGATTGATGAAGGGATTATAGCGTTTTATCCTAAATGTCAATTATAAACACTGTAACAGGTGTCAGGTGCGGGATGAGAGGGCCATGCGCCAAGGGGGACTTCGAACCCTCAGTTTCTCACCGATATCGCGCTCCCTCTTCCTGCTCTAAGCTTCCGAGGAAAAACATGAGGAAGAAAGATTGAAGAACAGTCGATGGCACTTCAAGGACACCTTCCTTGTAGAGACCTATACTGGTGAATGGGGGGGGGGCGAAGTTAATCGTGGGCATTGTGGTCAATGCATGCTTCATGAGTAATTTTGTTTGCTTTTTTACCTTTGACTTCGGGGCCCCATGGCAAATGAGAATTTGTTGCACGAATTCAGGGCAGTGATATGTGCATCAGCAGAAGTCGTGCCAGTATTTGCAAGCGCATGCCATGATGCTACCAAACCCTGGGTTGCTGTATTGAGTCAAGGAGGACTTTTAATGAAATTTAGAATGGACCAATAAGACTAGCTTTGCAGTTAAAAGTAGATAGCCAAATCAAAAAAACTGTCTCTACGAAAGACTAAATAATTATTACCGTGTGCTGCTACTCAGTGTATCCTTTAAAACATCCAGATGTGAATGAAATTCAAGGATAGTGTTTGCCAGTTTCATTCACACCAACTGATCATTTATGATGGCCCATTTATCGTAACAACTTTATCCTTTACTCTCAGCGCTCATATTTCTCAATCATTCTCCTCAGTGAAGACTTTTTTGCTGCTACTGTTGAATTGAAAATGACATTTCTTCACAACAAAACCTCAACCTGAATGTAGTATTTGGCCTTGATTTATGAAAAGTTCCATCCAAAGTGAAATTAAATAATAAATTCCACATTTGATTGCTCCGTACCGTGAAATTGCACACTGATTATGAGATAAAAGAATGGGTCCTTTGTGCCCACTGTGGTGATGATTTAGAGTTAGCAAGCCGGAGCTGGAGAGCGCGTGACAGGGTAATTCTACCCCATGGAATCCCACGAGTCATCTGGAGCGTCTCTGGTGTACAGTATCGTCTCGCAAATTTGTTTTCTGAGTCAATTTTTTGCCAAGCTATCGTACGAGATAACGGGGAAATTGTAGACAAAAGTGAGGCAACGTGCTGACACGGTGCTTTTATCTCAAGAAAACTAACACGACCCGGTCGACCAACGGAGTGTTTTGTCGGAAAATTGCATCCACTTAATATCAATCAAATTAAATAAGGAATCGAGTCGGCTATTAGTAGACCTACGTTTCTTGTTGTAGGAGCTCACTGCCACGCCCACGCCACTCCCAAAATACATTGAAAGCCAATTAAACCCATGCATCCAATTCAAATAGCGTTTCACCACGTACACAGAACATACATGTTGTAAGTATGACTCGGAGTATTTATGACAAATACGTATCTTAAGTGCATTATTTTCCTCACTGAGCAGAAACGCATGGCTGCCTCAACTTTTCTTTGCATTTGAAAATTCGAAGAACACGTGTATGAATACTTTTCATACCCGCATCAATGTGGAACTTCCTGTTGGTATCATGGTATCCACTCCAAGGAACCTTCGGGGGTGCTAGATTGTTTTGCAGGGGCTCAATAGTTTTTTATCCCATGGGTTTTTTACATTAAGATGTGCCAAATTCCGGACAGATTGTAGAACTTTTTCCATAAATAAAAAAAAGTTGAGACTAATGGTCTCTAACCTGTGGTATATAGTTCACAAACACCTCAAGCTTGTTGGCCTGTTTTGCTTAAGAGGCAGGCGGCCACATTCAGACCTGACCCCAGAGTTAGACTACTAATTGGGGGAGTTTTGGAGGAGGGAGGATTTTTTAAAAGTCTACCTGGCTAACACTTGTGAACTTGAAAAGAAAATTTCAGCGATCACAACCTTGAAACACACAAGTCCAATGTGTTCCTGAGCATCACCAGGCCGCGCTATTTGTCTTCGATTTTGCAGGGTTTTTTTTAAACGGCCGCGCATGGTGGGAATTCGCTCGTCACTTAGCGCCCGATTAGGGTGCTAGGAAGCGCCGATGGCCATGCACAGATTTTGTCACACGGTCACACGGGTAACAGCTTACGACGCGAAGAGCATGGTGGGTAAATTTCTGCCAGGCGCGCGAGCTCGCTCAATGCATTACGTAAGCGGCGATTAGCAATTCGGTATTTTTTTCTGTTTTTTTTCCTCATCGCTGAAAATATTCTCACACAACACTTTATTCTTTCATCAAGATGACCATTGATGTTAAGCACAAACGACTTGCCAGCATTTACCTTTGTCAAGTCGAGCATTGCATTTAAACCCCCCCCCGGCTCGAAATTGTATTCCATCCCGTTGTAGTACCTTACGAGCACATATTGTTTGAGGACGAATTCGATGATTCTTAATTGGCGAGGATACGAGCCCAGCAGCGCTTTGATTATTTATACCGCATAGTAATATCGTAGTCTATTCATTGAATAACGTGAATAACTGTTTTAAAGTTCAAGGATCGTGAGTTTTATCATCAAGCCACGAAGGATTTACTGGTATGGTGGATTTTATTAAGATAGAAATGATAATAGGATCATCCAATTAAGTCGGAGTTTGGAATCCTGATTTATTTTGCTGAGGCGCCGAGGCAGTCTGAGTGTAAGCTTTCAATCAGATAACGAATCTATTCCAGTTAAGAGTTTGTGAAACTGTGAGAGCATCTCCATTTCCAGGTTTTAATGAAGTTAATATGCTGGCCCTGTCATTGGCGCACAGCCAATTTAACCGGGTTTCATAACATGGTAATATATGGTGCTTTTTAAAATGCATGGTGTTGCAAGGGGTAAAAATGGATTCTGGAAGCATAACGATTTCCCACATTATCGTAGAGGTAAATATGTGCTCATATTTTGTCTTCGTTGTCTTTGTTAAGTGATCGGGCTCCGGGTTTCAAGTGGTCTATCTTACTCCTTTTTGGACGATAATTCTTCGCCGCTTTTCTCCAAGACGGTATAATGTAAACTTAAACTTTTCACAAACATTAACCCTGATCGCTAGATGTGCATAATAGTGTGATGTCATGATGAAATCATCAGGTATCAAACAGCAGTTGATTTAAATCATGGCAAACCTTTATAAACACTGTGACATGTTTTTTTTAGTAACCTGCGTTTAGTGTTGTAACATTTAACATTTAAACCCATAAATGTTTACTTGTAAACACAAACATATTCAAAGACTAAACAAGTCAACACGTTTATTATTTTCAAGAACACGTGAATGTTTATTTCATAAACTCACTGTGTTTACATTGTAAACATTTCGACATGTTTATGAATTATTAATTTGTTCCATATTTAAACGTTAATGGCATTTAGCAAGTGTTTAACAAGAATTTAGATGTTTACCTATACACACTTCGACATGTTTACAACCTGTAACACTTTTTAAACACTGTGACGTGTTTATAATCTTATAGGTGTTTATGTATATATATTTAAGTTCAAAATTTAATTCAATTGTCATTTAATAGACCTGTGCTTCTTCTTCAATTAGATTTTCGATGACATGCGTCAAAATTATGTGACGTCATCAATATAGAAATCGATATCACCCAATCAACTTGTGTTTGTAACTCAAACACGTCCCGTCTGGTTTTGTTTTTGAGTTTTACTTTGCCGTTTCTGAATTTTTCCCTGTTGAGTTGCTTGCGTTTTAAGATTCTTTTTACATATTTGGGCCTGATT